AGGAAAATGTCCTGTGAGAAGAAAATGTGCCAAACTTCAGTTGAAATCTAGAAAACTGTAATGACCTTTACCATGGTTTCATGTTTCTTCTTCTTTCAGGCACCAGCAAAGCCTCTGGCAGCTGAAAACAGTTATTAGTTAGCGTAAAACACACAATACAAAGATGGACGGTGTGGCAGATTGGATCGTGCTGAACAGGGACAAGATCGAGAAAGGCGTGGAGATCATGGGGGAAGCCTCGGAGGTGCTCGCCGCCACCGTGGGCAAACTCCACCCCGTCTTGGAGGCCGTGTTCAAGACTTCAGCAATGATACTCAAAAACCCGGACAGCAAAGAGGCTCGCTACCTGACTGAGCAGTTCGAGCTGGTCAACCAGAAACTCGTGGGAATCCAAGGTGAGATCGATCAGATTGAGCTGGAGCTGAAGAGGACGTCAATCAACAAGCAGAACTTTGATCGGGAGGCGCAGATACTCAGCCAGTACGAAAAGTTGCAGGAATTTGCAAAGGAAAACGCCAAGCCGAAGTTCAAAGAGAAGAAAATGGAGAAGTTCATCAGCCACTACGAAAACACTGACGCCGACCTGAACCTGGACGCCCTCTACAACGCCGTCGTTGGGGAGAGCGCCGCCGGGGACCCACTGCTCGAAACAGTGGTGACCACGGAGCAGAGGAGCAGGAGGGCGGTGGAGGATTTCTGCGCCCGGCTGAAGAAGCTTTTTCTGGTGGGCATCTTCGCCGTGATGGGCCACTCCGCCCTGAAGGAAGGGGTGGGGGGGGAGGAGATGGTGAAGAAGTGGCAGGGACGGCTGGAGGATGTGGAGAATCGAATGAAAGCGGCTGTAGATGACTGTACAGATAACTTTGCAGTTCAAGCCAAGCTGGACATGGAGCTCCTGGTGAAGGAGAAACGCAGCGCCATCAACCTCGACCTCGCCAAATCCCTCCTGGAGTCTCTCGTTAAGAAATACGACTGGGTGAAGTGGTCCATCAGGGCCTTTGCCGTCAAGGAGCGCTTCTTCTTGTTCAACTGGCTGGCAGGAAAGAAGTGCCACGGAAGTGGAGGAGCCAACTGGTTTGAGATTCTGACCAACAGCAAGGTCATAGTGGTGGTCTCTTTTTGTGTTGACCCCAAGCCCATTAACAAGAGTGAGATCCAGGAGAAGATCGAAGGTGAGAAGATGAAGAGGAACATGGTTGATGTGGCTCAGGCTTTGAGCAGTAGCTTCCCCGACTGCCTGGTCCACGCTGTCAGCCATTACAAGGAAGTGGTGGAGTCCAACAACTTCCATGAGGATAGTTACTACTATGGAAAACGAAAAGGAACCTACCTGTGTATCCACCCCGAGTAGAAAACCTAAAGTGCAGCCGCACGCGGGAACAAAATTAGCAAAATTCATGAAATGTTTTTACCAGAGACAATAAATATAGAAAGTGAATTAATCAATCTAGTCTCTGCATAATCTTCTCCGTCTGGTTTGTGATTCAGTGTTTGGCATGTAATTGTTTTTAATTATTTTACGTACATCTTTTATATGTCGATGATATGGGTTTTTTTTTTTCTTCTTTTCAGAGCTGTATATCTCCATGCCAGCTTTGACTGCTGTTGTGACTCTCGTGGTGTTTCTGTCCCTGTTGGATATTAAAAGACTTGTTTGCTACGATATTATAGTCTGTTAACCGTCAAGTACTTTGCCACATAGTTTATACCTGGACGCGCTCCTCGGTACGTCAGACCACTGTGGGCGAAGCGGTAATTCCTTGAGCAGTGCTGCTTTATGCACTGACGTGATGCAGTACCCATATTTGTCTGGTAGGGTTTGTTCAAGCTTCCCAGTTCATTATTGACATTTGAAAGCTGTGGAACAAGAAAGTGATTGTGCCTCCTGGTGGAATTGTTTGATAAAACCGTCGTTTCTGAAGTCTAGCATGAACTAGCCCTGTCTTACATGTCTGTGTGTAAAAAGCGAGGCTACAGTCAGGAGCTCGTTAGCTTAACTTAGCATGGAGACTTGAAATAGGAAGTTTTCAAATGTCAATCTACAAGTTATGTGCCAAAATATTTTCATGCCCTTGAGTTGAGATTGTTTTTTTGTTTTTTCAATACGGTTTCTCAATTTTGTTTCAAAAAAGGGAAAAGGGAAATCTTGATATTGCCCAATTGTAGACACGTGTGTTTAAAACAAAATGAGTTCTAATATTCTTGCTGCTTTTGGTGCGATATGTTGCTGCAGAGCGAACAGCCAAAACGCGTTATTCGACAATCATCTTATATTTACTCTTAATTTGTAATAAACATGAACAGTTTTGTCATCTTTGGTCATTAAAAGCCATTTTTGTGATACTGTCTCTTGTCTCTTGGATCATTCACGATTGAAACACACTGCTCGGATCAGTGATAGCGATAAGAGTCAGCCAAGAGTCACTTTAGATTTCTATGAAACCTTGAAATGAATTATGGAAGGACTTTTCCTGCGTCCCTGCCCTCCCTGGACTTTTTCGTACTCAGTGATGTTGTAGTCTGTCACCGGACGCCATGTTGTCTATGACCCGGAAACACCTGGAGAGGGGTAGACGGGGGGGCATTACACAGAGAGAAGACACCACCTTCACACCCAAACTACCGGTCTTCTCAAATTTATGCTGACGTTGAGGTTTTTTTACGTCATCATAAACAATCCCGGATGGAAAAGTTTCGATGTGAAGAGTTTGAGCCGATTCCTTTGCACACACTGGCAGCTTAAATATCTAAATTCCCTATGATGTAGACATTATTAAATCAAGAATTTAACTAATTTATCTAACTTTTCAGCACTTTGGCACTTAGTATCTATTGAATGTGGATGATGAGTTAAAACATATTCTTCTCAACCGGACTGAGTACCTTCGCCCGGCATTTCGGGAATCAGACCAGCTGTTATAACAGCTGTCACTCAAATACGTCAGGGTCCTTTAACGCGGTTACGAACGTTCTGAAGCGAAAACAACTCTTCACCCGGAATCACTCACGTCACGTCTTGCAGCTTTTACTGGAATTGTTTTCCGCTCGCAAGATGAGGCGGATCGAGGTGACCTTTCCTCTTGATGGATTATTTTTGTTTAAGAATGTGGTTTTCTGCTACACTTGAATGAGACCTGATCACAAAGCCCTCAACATAAATCTTCACAATTCTTTCATCCAGATGATCATGAAATACATATCTAGATGATTATGAACACAGATTATTGTTCATGCGGCGGTTTAAATGATGCTGACAATGACTGGAGTATTTTACATGCCTGCAAATGTTCCCCATGATAAAATCTCACGCTGTGGCAGCAAAGGAATAAATGCATTCATGAAATATTCACAACTTCAAGTAGGAAAAAGAGGCCACAGTCTTACTCATTCATTGTAAACACACACAGATTCTTGTCGTGATGGAGGGTTATTGATCTCTATTGAGCTGGCTTTGACATTGTGCATAATACATCTACACATACACCCTGCACTAGTGTATCGTCTTACATTTAATCAAACACTGCTGACTTGTTTTTATCCAGTTGCATCAGTTTTAATTGAATCAAGGCCCGTGTGAACACAAACCTGCTTTTCCTGCCATTAAAGTGGAAGCAGAAATATTATACGGGTGATGATCTTGGCCCGGACAAGCTGCTGTTTGTGGCCTCTGGCAATGTCTCACAATCAAACAACAATCTTCTAGTCCCAACTCTACCCTGATAAATTGATGCATTAAAAAAGCAGGAGATTACTTCAGCTCCCCCAACGTGCCGAGTGGGTGCATGCTGAGTAAAGACAGACAAAAACAGCCTAATGCCCTCAAGCTCTTTCCTCAGCTGGCCGTCATTATCTCAAATATTTCACTTGTGTTTCCACCTGGGGAGTCTGAATACCACAAAACCTTTCCCCAAGTTCAACACTTTTCCATGGATGCTGGAGCCAGAGCCTCTCTCCTAGTCCGCAGACGGATGGTCTTCTCTGCAAACACGAGAGAAAGTCGTGTCTTGTTAACCAGCACAACTCGGGCGTTTCACGCAGCGTGTGTTCCCCGGCGTCGGCCTGTGCCACCCATCACGCCACGTACTGCTGGGTCCCTGCGAAAGCAGCTCTCCACCTCTCCACCCGTGCCCTGCTGACGAGTACCAATTTCACAGCAGACATCCTTCCCTCCTCTTCCTGTTCCCGCCTCTTTGGGATCCGTTACGGAGGACGGTGACATCGATGCCGTGTGTGTCACGGCCCGCTTTAAGCACAAAGGCCATGAGTGAGCTCCGACTGTCATGGTGTGTCCTGGGAAGACACAGACCGTCTTTCACTGAGCAGCACTGTGACGGACCGAGCACTTCCCCCAGCGGGGCCATCGTCATCCCTCAACATTTACCAAATTATCTCAAAAGGCCTTTTTCTTAAAAAGTACAATGATGTATTTTAAATATTTAGCGTTCTAACAGAGCTAGCCTAATGGTTTTTGCAGCATGCAAAGCCTCACAGAAGTTAGAGGAACCAGTTCAGTCACCATGGCAACCTTGAGCTACAACAAGAGGGGTTTTGTGCTCCTGGGTCGCTCGGCTGAGCCCTGCTGCCATTGGTCTCCTTTTGATTCTTCCTCTCAATCCCCTCGTCTGTGTGTTTCTCTCGCTAACAGACACACACACAAACACACACACATGCACAGACACGCACAAAAAACGTTGTATTTTTCAACATTTTCCCAGGGTGCATGGTGTCCCTGCGTGGGGAGTGTTTACAGGATGTTATCTGTGTCTGTGCCGGCCCCTCATCCCTCTCAGTGGGTTTCTGAGGAATGCCGGAACGGGATGGAGGAGTTCCAAAGGGGGAGTGATGAGAGAGACACCAGGAGGGAGGGAGGGGGAGAGAGAGAGAGAGAGAGAGAGAGAGAGTCTATATATACATCCCAAAGAGCTTGGTGCTCACAGGCACAGCTGGACTACTGGATAACTGGACCGTAGTCCACTGGATATTTGGCTAGAAAGGTGAGTACATTTTTTTTCCTGCTCTATTTCTTTATTTAGCATCTCCATCATCCTTGTCACCAGTGAACCATCGCTTAAAGTTGGTTCAAAGAAAGAGAAAGAAAGAAGGAAAAACTCAAAATTCAGATTTGTTTATTTGGCTTTTCTTGTTCTTTTTTTTATTTCCTTAAAAGTAAGGGGAAAAAGTCTAAATTGAAGAGACGTGTCATCGGTAGAGATGAGTCCTTTGGGGGATGTGGTCTCGTTAGAGGCTTACGTTTGTGGTTCCTATTGAAGCTGTGTAGCATTGAAAGGGGAGATCAGTGTTTGATCAAGTGCGTGTTGGACTCGCCTTTTTCCTTTCACAAAATACATTTCACCGTCTGTGCTGAACGGAGACTAACTTTCTTTGGGGGTGGGTTTACAAGTGAAGACTTTTTTTCAAACACAAGCCTTAAACAATTACACTGTAAGTATTATTTCCTCACTGTTATTTTATCTCTGTTTTTAAATCAGAATGCAATGGAATTCTGCAGTTACACATTATATTTTAAATGATGCATTGTTTTATTTCCATCACACGGAAATGTGGATACATCTTCGTAGCACTGATGGCTGAATAGATTAGATGTAATTAGCGTAGTGTAAGTGAAGGCTGTAAAATGACACCGCTGATCTCATCACTGCAGCAATTATTGGTGTGAACCTGTATTTGTCTGTATTTCATTCATACCAAAACGTCAGAAAAAATCTCTGTATGTGTCGGGTTTGTTTTTTGTTCTGTAATATTAGTAAAAGTGTGATTGCAGTATTGAGCAAGTGCAGTGGTGGGGAATTTTCTTCTCTCAGACCTGGGTGTGCCTTTTTCTCAACTGGATATGGGCTCCAGGCCGTGAGACATTAGTTAGCTCATCTCTCTTGTGTATTTTACATCGAAAAACCCCACTATCGTTACCAAAGTAAACCCCTTTCTTTTACCGTGTAGCGAACATCTGTGTTTGCTTTGTGTCCTGGCTATTGTTGGAGCAGTTAAAAAAAAAAGAAAAGAAGATATTCCAAAGGGCCAACGCTGCCATGTTGCGCAATACGTCATAATTCCTGAGTACACACGCTGTGTTTGATATCTGTTCTGAATCGCCATCCATGTGTGCCTCGTTTGTGTACTTTAACGAGCTTGTCTTCTGTGTGTCAATGCCACCAATGCTTTAAAAAAAAAAAACGGGTCCCTGTCATTAGCCGAGGCTGTGAGGGTGCGCCCTGAAACTGGATGCCTACATGTGCAGACATGACCTGCCATTGGCTTTATTGGAGGGTTTTCATTGTCAGGAAAATGTCCTGTGAGAAGAAAATGTGCCAAACTTCAGTTGAAATCTAGAAAACTGTAATGACCTTTACCATGGTTTCATGTTTCTTCTTCTTTCAGGCACCAGCAAAGCCTCTGGCAGCTGAAAACAGTTATTAGTTAGCGTAAAACACACAATACAAAGATGAACAGTGTGGCAGATTGGCTCGTGCTGAACAGGGACAAGATCGAGAAAGGCGTGGAGATCATGGGGCAAGCCTCGGAGGTGCTCGCCGCCACCGTGGGCCAGCTCCACCCCGTCCTGGAAGCCGTGTTTGTGGCTTCGGCCGAGATACTCAGCAACCCGGACAGCAAGGAGGCTCGTTACCTGACTGAGCAGTTCGAGCTGGTCAACCAGAAACTCGAGGGAATCCAAGGTGAGATCGATCAGATTGCGCTGGAGCTGCAGAGGACGTCAATCAACAAGCAGAACTTTGATCGGGAGGCGCAGATGCTCAGCCAGTACGAAAAGTTCCAGGACTTTGTCAACGCCAAGCCGAAGTTCAAAGAGAAGAAAATGGAGAAGTTCATCAGCCACTACGAAAGCACTGACGCCGACCTGAACCTGGACGCCCTCTACAACGCTGTCGTTGGGGAGAGCGCCGCCGGGGACCCACTGCTCGAAACAGTGGTGACCACGGAGCAGAGGAGCAGGAGGGCGGTGGAGGATTTCTGCGCCCGGCTGAAGAAGCTTTTTGTGGTGGGCATCATCGCCGTGATGGGCCACTCCGCCCTGAAGGAAGGGGTGGTGGGGGAGGAGATGGTGAAGAAGTGGCAGGGACGGATGGAGGATGTGGAGAATCGAATGAAAGCGGCTGTGGATGACTGTACAGATAACTTTGCAGATCAAGCCAAGCTGGACATGGAGCACCTCCTGCAGGAGAATCCCGGCGCCGTCAACCTCGACTTTGCCAAATCCCTCCTGGAGTCTCTCGTTAAGAAATACGACTGGGTGAAGTGGTCCATCAGGGCCTTTGCCGTCAAGGAAAGCATCTTCTTTTTCAACTGGCTGGCAGGAAAGAAGTGCCACGGAAGTGGAGGAGCCAACTGGTTTGAGATTCTGACCAACGGCAAGGTCAAAGTGGTGGTCTCTTTTTGTGTTGACCCCAAGCCCATTAACAAGAGTGAGATCCAAGAGAAGATCGAAGGTCAGAAGATGAAGGGGAACATGGTTGATGTGGCTCAGGCTTTGAACAGGAGCTTCCCCGACTGCCTGGTCCACGCTGTCAGCCATTACAAGGAAGTGGTGGAGTCCAACAACTTCCATGAGGATAGTTACTACTTTGGAAAACACAAAAGAGCATACCTGTGTATCCACCCCGAGTAGAAAACCTAAAGTGCAGCCGCACGCGGGAACAAAATTAGCAAAATTCATGAATTGTTTTTACCAGAGACACATTAAATATAGAAAGTGAATTCATCAATCTAGTCTCTGTCTATGCATAATCTGCTCCGTCTGGTTTGTGATTCATTGTTTGGCATGTAATTGCTTTTAATTATTTTATGTATATCTTTTATATGTCGATGATGCAGCAGCTTCAGGGTGTTTTCTTCTTTTCAGAGCTGTATATCTTCATGCCAGCTTAGTGTTGTGACTCTCGTGGTGTTTCTGTCCCTGTTGGATATTAAGAGAGTTGGTTTACACAATGTTATAGTATGGTAACTGTCAAGGACAAATAGTTTATATCTTCCTGGTATATAGGACCGTTGTGGGCGAAGCGGTAATTCCTTGAGCAGTGCTACTTTATGCACTGATGAGATGCAGTACCCATATTTTGGGTTTTTAAGCTTCCCAGTTTATTATTAACATTTGAAAGCTGTGGAACAAGGAAGTAATCGTACCTCGAGCTGGGATCGTTTGATAAAACCGCTGTTTATGATGTCTAAAACAAACTAGCTCTGTCTAACATGTTAGCAACTTAGCATGGAGACTTGAGACTGGAAGTTTTCAAATGTTATTTTGCAAGTTATGTGCCAAAATATTTTCTGGCCCTTGAGTTGAGATTGTTTTTTCCTTTTACATACGTTTCAGAGAATATTTACCACCTACATATAGAACATCAAAAAAAAGGAAAAATGTGGAATATATAACACATGTGTTTAAAACAAAATCAATTCTAATATTCTTGCTGCTTTTGGTGCAATATGTTGCTGCAGGGCGAACGGCCCAAATCCTCATTCCACAATCAACTTTGTCGAGATACTTATGTATTTACTTTAATTTGTAATAAACACAAAAAACATGAACGGTTTTGTCATCATTGGTCATCGTTACTCAGTTAAATTAAAAGCCCCTTTTGAGTTCAAACCTGTCCCAATTATGAAGCCTGAACGCACCTCCTTCAGCAGCAACAACGCGTTAACAACACGCCGCTGTTCATCAAAAGGGTGGAGGTGGACCTGTAATAGAATCTTATATTATTATTATTATTATAATATTATGCTCACAGCCTCTTTAGTCTTTCGCTCTCTGCTGGGCGCGCCTGCGTCACGCGGGAGTCACGTGACCGCGCGCGAGTCAACGCGTCCGCAAAGTTGAGTTTTGTTTTCCTTCCGCGGGGCCTTGTTTTTTTCTCCAGGTGAGTCCGTTTTTCCACCGTCGAAAACGTTTCCCCGCGGACAGACTCGAGCCGGTAGAACTTTTAACGCTGCGACGAGGCAGTAATCGATCGAACCATCGACTCCATTTCTTTTCCCCGGCGTTCTGTTTTAAAAAAAAAAAGCCGTTGAATTCGCAGATTTTCTTTTAACGCGGCGTCATCTAATAAAACAAAGAGGGGAATTAAGTGAATCTGGGGGGAAAATAACTACATTAATGCAGTTTGAGCTGTTCTGTCTGGGCGTTGGTTTCCAGCTGTCACCGCTTCACTTTTTCCAGGAAGTCTTTGACTGTTTTCCACTCGCGTAGCAGCAGAGCAGCCGCTCTGTGGTGTTAACCTGCGATGTTTGTTTGGCTCTGTGCGATGATGCAATTAGAAGGCCTCGCGGACCGATCGATACCTTCTCCATTAAGTTGAGTGAGTGATCGGCGCGGTCATCCGCGTGCCCAGAGGAAGCTCTGCCGCAGACACACGAGCCCTCTGAGAGACAACCTCCTCTTTCTGCTCGCCGCACACGGCTGGTACCATAGTAGCTATCTAAGTATCTTCTGCAGAATACGTCCCCTGTGATCCACATGATTATGTATTTGTTACTTGATATATTCACATTTTAGCTACTTGCTTATTTTCTGTGCAGTCAAGCGTCACAAGAGGAACCTGAGAGGTCAAAGGTCGTCTATAAGGTCGTCAATATTTGCTGAAAACCCAACAACAGGCCACAAGTTAAACTGTCACGAGCCAAACATGTCGGGAACGACGTTATTTTTTAATTGTATAACGTTTAATGTATTCTTTATATGACAAATAGCAGATAAGATTAATTACAATGTTTCCGGCTGAGATTTAGCATAAGTAGCATAAATCAAAATACCCAAAATCTCCAAGTTATGGTTTCTTGTTACAGCACGAGTAGTTACTTTTCCCCACTATATTTGTGTAATATAGTTGTAAAAAAACACAAACTTGTTGTTGTGTCTTTCGCCCGGCATTCATATCTCTGGTGAGATGCACCTCCAGCTCCCTGTTTCTGAAAATGTGATTTCTTCAAGCACTTTTATGTTTAAACTGAGTGAAGGTGCTTCCCATGCACTCAGTCTGCGGTTACACCCACCCCCCCCCCTCCCTCCCTCGGGACCTTGAGGGAAATAGAGAGATAACATCAGTGGAAAACAGGAATCACACTTTTAGCACGACTAAATCCAATAAGATACAGTAACTGTAAATGCTCCAACATCCTGCTGGAATCTGCTGTACTTTGACGTTTTTGTTTTCATGGCATACAAGGAAATTATGCAGAGTTTACATATTTTGACAGAGAAATAACTTTGTGGATGGCATTCAAAGAATGCTTTAAAAAAGTAGTTTGCCAATTTGAAAAAATCGCTTATTTGGTAGATGCGAAGATCTATGCCACTGTAGTCCATGAAGCTACACCTAGCCGCTAGTTAGCTTAGCACAAGGCCTGGTCATATGGGGAAACAGCTAGCCTGGCTCTGTTCAAATCTCACGAGTACCGGACAGAGGAGTTAAATCGACCTTCTCAGCGAGAAAGGAAAGAATTAAAAGACGTCTCTCAGAAATGTTGGATTACGCCCTAAATCTTAAACCCATGTTGGAATTGAATCCTCTTCTCTCACAAGTCTTCTGCGGTCCAGCTGGATTACCCGCACCGAGCACGCCTCGGCAGCGAGACAAACAAGCTGACGGATTATTTTCCATTGTCCTGTTGCCGTGGTAACGTGCTGAGTTTCACTGGAAAACGAACCCTTGCCCAGCAAGTTTAACCTTTTCACTTAATCACTTCCCACGCCCGCTGCTCCGTTATCGACTGGTCCGATCTGCTGCTGCTGCTCCTCCTTCAGCCGCGATTTGCTGAAAACCCTCCGGAGGCCATAAACGTGAATTAGAACATGTGACGACAGGTTCATTAGCTCGAGCTGCTGCATTCGAGCTTGTTGAGCCAGTAGGAGAGTGTACCATTTCCACCCAGTTTAAACATTTCCACTTTTGCAAAAGAACACGTCTGAACATCCGCCCGGGTTTCTCTCAGTCTTTTTCTCCGTTTCCTAACATGAGGGAGGATGTGCTTTCTTAGATATGATTTTCCAAATCCAATGGACACAATGCAATTCCCTTGATATAAGGAGTCATCTAGCATCGCTAAACGTTTTTTATATCTGTGTTATTATAGGCCAAGGATTTAAGATGTGTACAATGATTTACCCAAAGTTAGAATGTGACTAATTCAGAGACAGAGAAACTCGTAACTTAAAGTCCTCTCAGTCATCTTCCCCACACCTTTCAGCCATAGAATATCAGTTTAATTTGCTCAGTTGTGATGAAAATAAATCTGTTATTATACCTGTTATGATTTGATCCGCCTTTTATATCTTATCTTAAACTATTGCTTCTTGAGAATAGTAAAGACAGACTGCAAGACAAGGGGTTTTAGACTTTTATCACTTTAATGTACGTTTAAACTTGAGCTCAGTAGGAGGAAAAAGTGTGATACTTGAAACGATAGATTACCCTGCCTGTTTAAAACCAACAGCAGATACCTCCATTATTCCCACAACGTGAACTTTAAAGCTTCATTGCACCGCGTCGCTGAAACGGTATATTTTCCAACAGTAACCACACGAATGACAATGCAGACAATCCAGCCAATGCCGGCCGTGCGTCGCTGCATTGTTGAGTCATTGCTCACTGGGTGTGGCCACCGAGCAGCACTGAAGCTCACTCGGCTGTCTTTCTCTTTCCTTATCAGCTTTTGCTGCGTTGGAGCGAAGGGAGCGGGCCGCAGTCCAACAACACTGAAAAAACGACAGTGAGTCGCTCAAGAAAAACCCGACATCTGCTGTTCCTCTGTGTAAAACCGAAAGCTTTTCATACTTTCTCCCTCATTAGTGTTCAGTTGGATTGTTTCCTAGAGGAGGTTTTCTCGCTTGAATATCACAACCGACTGTTTCTAACCACCTTTCTCCGTTTGAAATCAGCTTGAGAGACGTCAGCAAAGATGGCAAACCAGCTGCAGCAGCTCGTGTCGGAGAAGAAGGAATTGGTGGAGCATGTGATGGAAATCTTTGAACATGGAGCTGAAATGGTGGCCAGCATCGCCGGCGACCTTTTCCCCATTTTCTCCATCGCCGCTCCAATCGTCAAACTGGCTCTGGACAACGTGGAAAGCAAAGAGGCGGCGTTCATGAAGGAGCAGTTTCAGAAGGTGCGAGATCGCCTGGAGGTGATCTCCGAAGAGCTCCAGCGGATCAACGAGGAGATTAAGAAGAGCGGGTTGGACGCTGTGTATTTCCCAGTTGAGGAGAACATCACCAACCAGTTCAGGAAGTACATGGACATCCTCAACGCCAAACCCAAGTTCCGGGAAGTCAAGAAGAAGCTTTTCCTCGAACATTTTGCCAAGACGGGTGGTGAAAAAAACCTCCACACCCTCTACAACTCTGTGACCGGGGACACCATCTCCGGGGAATCTGTCCTCGAGATCACGCTGAACTATCAGCAGAAAAGTCGCCGGCCGGTGGAGGAGTTCTGCGCCCGGCTGAAGAACCTGTTCTGCATCGGACTCATCGCGCTGCTGGGCCACGCCTCTCTGAAGGGGTACGACGAGGAGGACGCGCTGCTGAAAGACTGGGCCGAGAAGATGAAGACCATCCAGCTCAAAATGAACGCCGTCATCGAAGACTGCATCGTCAGCTTCCCCAAACAGGCGGAGATCGATTCACGCCAGCTGGTGAGAGACGACTCAAGCTTAACCAACCAGCAGTTGGCCGACGCCATCGTAGAGAAGCTGAAGAAGAAGTACGACTGGGTGGGCTGGTCCGTGCGCGTTTTCAAGTCTCCCTCCGGCCTGTTCGCCAACAAGAAGGATCACCACAACGCCATGGGGAAGAGCCGCTTCCAGCTCACGTCATCGGACGAGAAGCTCAACATCTGCGTGTCCTACAGCTCGTCGCCCGAGCCGGTGGACGGCAGTCCCATCCAGCAGCTGATCCAGAGTGAGAAGAAGCTGACGGCAGTGGGCGTGGCCGAGGTCCTGTACGAGAAGCTGCCCGGCAGCTACATGGTCCACGCGGTCAAAACCAGCAAGGACCTGGCGTGCTCCTGGAGCTTCTCGGATGAGCTCCACTACTGGAAGGAGCACAAGAACATCTACGTCTGCGTTCACTCGGACTGAAGTTTGAGACGCAGAGAAAAGTCAATCATTCAGTTTTTTGGTAACTTTGCGTTTTCGGACGCAGATCACGGAGTCCCTCGCTGCCTGCGCCTTTAAAATACACAACAGTTCAAATCCAGTGCATTTTATTTCTACGATGTAATATTACAAAGTCTGTCCTGATGGGTTCAATAATCAGTGCAACATACGACACCCTTGATTCAGAGTAGGATAGAAGATATAAATGATGGGGAAGAAACCCCGCGGAGGGATAACTGGGACATTATTCCCCTCTGTTTGTTACGAGACTGCTCAATCAGAAGTTCACAGTCGCTGAAGACTTGTTGTTCTTGATGTACGACGGTCAGTTTCAGGCGGACGTGGGGGCCTTTTTTTATGCAGGAAAAGTAGTTGACGTGGGATCCGTCTGTCTTACGTAGATAACGTGTGCGCGGTGATAAGCGGCGACCTCGCCTTGCTGACACACCGTCAGAGAAAAATGTCTCTGGATATTTTCCAGAGACATTCTTCATTTTGATTTCACGTCTTTTCGTCTGAGGAGAACAGTAAACCAGCTGCCCAGCAGAGCTCTTCTTATGTGCACAAACGGAAAGGTTTCACCCGCTCAAAGCCGAAAGATTTACTTAATTGAGTTCTGGGTAAATCACGAGACGGGATCTGTACAACATCAACACTACTTTGAAAGAAATACGGCATGTTTACACTGAAAAAAAGACACCACTGAACTGTTATTGTTTTAGATGTTTTTATTTGACGTATATTTTAGACCGCTTTAATCGGTGTGAGTTCTTTGTATGTTGTTTTTATGTTATCATCTAAAACATTTGACTATTTTACCAAAACATTCCTTATATATAGTGAAATATTGATAAGATGTTTTTGCACAGTTTTGTAATATCTATTTCCATATGTTACATTTGAATTATCTCTGTCTGATACAAAATCACTGGTTGCATCAAAACAATAAACTTTATAAATCTTCCCAATAAACTCGGTCAAAAGTAATTTGTTTGTTTTTGTTTTTTGTAACTGACTCATAGTTTGTGTGTTTTTTTCTGACACACAAACCTGTGGACGGGGTGAAAATATGAATAACATCTGATTTTGTCTTCTTTTTGGGGGGATTCGTCATGGTTTTGAGGTGGTAATAACACCTGCTTAAACATTTATGAAGCTGCCCAGGCGTTGATAGTTATAATAATAATAATGACGGTGCTATTCATGAATCTATTATGCAAAATAATAACAATTACAACAAATGTGGTCACTCTTCTGATCCCAATATGTCATCTGTTAATGCAATACACTATAAAAGCTTTTCCTTTAATACGTTAATTCCTCAAAGCTAAATGTACCACCTGTAATCCCAATCCTCCGAGGAGTCATAAAGCCACCGATGAAACAGCCCGAATGCTCCGTGGACAAATCGAACATCTTAAGGGGAAAGAAAGAGAGAAGTGGAAAAAGGAAATTCTGGTTAGCTGGTTTGGAAACACCCATTGTGCTCTATAATTATGTGGTTGTGGCTTTTCTATCTTCGGCGTATAAAGACTCATGGCCCTGCGGTGTATCACAGGGCCACGAGTAAAGTGCTAAAATAGCGATGAACAAGTGCAAAGGAAAACATGTGGGTCAAAGATTCTTGTTTAGGTGTATTTTTACGGCAATTTCTTAGATTGGAAATTGAAACGGAAGCAACTTTTGATTCAAGAGGCAAAGAAAAGTTAACAAACAACAACTTAAATCAAGAATTTAAAGATTGAAATTGACGTTTTGATCAAGGTACATATACTGCAAATCTAAAACCACAAGCACCTGTTACCAGTAAGGGAGTCTGATCATGTAAACCTCTGCAAAGGTCAACACAGTGACCTCTGAGCTCTCATGACAAAAGGCCAAATTACCTAATTTTACAATCAAAGGGAAAACTAGTGTTGTATTTCAGGATGAAGATCTCTCATGTTCACTGGAGACAACCCGTCAAACCAACCCTGTCTTCTCCAAAATGACATTTCCATACAAAACTCATTATTTCCCTTGTATGCTCACAGCATAATAGGTGAACTACTGCTTGTGAGATGAATTGGACTTATGAACCAAACAAATAGGTTGAGAATCTGGGGTCTAGTTCCAAAGTCCTCTCTCTATCTGTGTCCTCCTACAGATTCAAGGTCATCCAATTTATTTATACTGCAAGTCACATACAAGTCTCAACAGCTTGTAAAGAGACAGACAACCCTGAAGGACATCGGTGCATAACAAGAGGATATACAACGACATGGAAAATGAAATGGAGTAAAGGGCTTCATGAACCCAAAGGACACATTTTATTTTGTAAAGCATAATAGATTTACAACATTTTCATAACAGTAGGAACCGTTGTCATGAATTTGAAGTGCTCAGAGAGACTTTTCATGTCATTAAAAATAACCAAATTACCAAATGTGGCTTGCGGATGAGACAGACCTTGTTGCCTGGATACCTGTTTGCTAAAGGACCAAGACTGAGGCCGAAGGAATTTAGACTTTCCCTCTGCTTTTAATGAAGCAGAACTCTTCCAAGTACTTTCCACTGGTGAGTGAGACGTTACACCAATGCAGAGACCCACAAAATGCTTTATCTGCCAATTCCTTATCTGGAGAAAAATAAATCCACAGAAAAGAAGCCTGAAAATGATCAATATTGACAAATGTTTCTGCAATATGGGATGACCTTTCAGAATTTTCTGGATGTATTTGTAACCAGGAGCAACTTTTGTGGTATTTAGTGAAAGTGGACAAAGTGAGGTGACGTAACATAGTCACTTATTCACACGTCCAGCAGATGAAGAACACATTATCATTCTTTTGGAGTTTCTTGGCATTTCTTGCCGTCTAATGAATACAGGTCCAAAATTCACTTTCTTTTAGCTCTGCTTTTGGTCTCCACCACTTTCTGCTCCACGATGTTAACTAGCTGGCTGCTACCTGTGCCTGTTTTCTGTTTGGTGTTGAGCAGGTAGTACACTATATATACTATAAATATGTACAACTGTCTGCTACGCCAAAAACCTCGAGAAAAAAACAAAAAGGTTCAAGTCTTTCATGTCACCAGTTATACACCTTGACCTTGAACCTTTAGGAAAATATTAATGTCGAGGGAATCTGTGAGGGGAATAAAGCACACACCATGAAACCAACGAAAAAACAAATGCTGACACAACCAAAAGAAAAATTGTGCAATACAACGATGCTAATGGACCAATGAGTATTTGAACCAAAATGTATCTCAATGTACGCAACTACAACACCGTGAATCCAACTACTACTCAACAACTTAAATACAACTTAGTACAATCATCAACGTAAAATTTCCGACGTGATCCCGGTCTGTTCTCCCTCGAAAAGGCTTCGGGCCGGTTTCTGTCCACGCCCAGGTGGGTTAAAGGGGCTGCTGACACGAAACATTGAAATAGGGTAAGTGATGCTTTTAATCAGACCCGAATTACTCTAGCATGAATATGATTGGGCCACACAGCCCTGCATTGACGCCGTCCCATCAGTTGACCTCAGGAACGCAGAAAAACATCACGAGGGGACGAAAAGATTCGCCCGCTCTGCAGGAACGCATTGTGCTGCCGCCCGTCACCTCAGCGTGATCCTCAGCTCGGCCTCAATCTGTCAATGACAACACAGTCATTTGGGTAAAAATAGAAAATAGCATTTGAATCGGATGGTTTAGGTCAGAGGCTACGTGGGAGGGGCCAGTTTTCTGCATCATTTGCTTATTTTAAGATTAGCACATAAATGTTTGTTATTCAATATGTAAAAGTGAAAATAGCCAACGTGACATCACTGCCATTTTGAAGCCTTGAGCTATGCTTTTTTGCCACCATTTTAGAGTTTTGTCGTCACCATCTTGTTTTTTTGCAACCGGAAGTGACACAAAGGGGAGGAGCTAAAGTCAATAGAAGGCTGATTGAGACATTTCTAGCCAACCAAAAATGTCAGAATAAAATTTCTCAAACTGAAAACACATTGTGAAAGAGTTAAAGTTCCACGAGGAAAACCTGTCAATCACAATGTAGCCCCGCCCTAAAGCATAACCTATGATAAGTCGTCTTCAGCTGTATTTTAGTTTACATTATGTAAATGTTTTATTTACAGTTTTCTGCGTTGCTTCCGTGTGGCTAAAAACAATTCATTTAGTTTTCAGGTTTTTGTCGGTTTTGCTATTTTTAATGAAAATAATGATGACTTCTGCATAAAAAATTTGCTGGAAAAAAAACATTCAGACTGTTTAAAAAGACAACGGTCTTAACTTTAGGTCCTCGTCCTCAAACACCATGTTTGAACTTCCTCCCCCATCGTGACCTTCTGTCCTCCCTCCTCACATTCCATTCCTCTGGGCAGCGAGCCCCAGCAAGCGTATGTGGAAGAGATCCAAAACAATTACACATTCATTCATTCACAGAATTTCCTATGAATTCACCTGTTTGCACAGCTTCACGCGCACTTTCATGGAGGGGAGCTGGGTTTTAAGGGCACCAGCGGCCCTCACTGCTAATAAAGAAGGATCCCAGTACATTTATTCCTGCTTTTGATTTTGGCCCTGAGAGCACAGGTTACATAGACATCTTACACCTCAACATTCTGCATTGATAACACAAACGCAGACGTGCGTGTCGCCGCTCTGTGTGTTCGTGACCATTGAGCAACAGAAATTCAACACGTTTCAACAAGTATATTCAAGGGACCTGCTGTCATTTTCAAGAGTTACAGAATCTTTTTTTGTAGGCTCCAGGAAAATAGGCGTGGGGGGGTCTCACATGCCTGAGAGTCTGGACTTTATAACAACAGAACTCCTTCTTTGCCCTTCAGTGCACAATAGCTTCTCACCATTCACCCTTTCATCAGCTTAGTGTTGTAGCATTGTTCAAAACTTAGACATTGTTTTTAATGTACAAGGGTCACACATCTTTAAAAGACAATATACTGTAGTCTATAATATAGACAAACAATATAAAATCTGATTAATTTGCATTGGTTTATTGTTAGAATGCATTTAGGGGTATTAAAGAGGGATTTGTTTTTGGGGGGGGGGATCAGAAACTAACTATCTAATTCTATCTAATACAATACAGCTATGCAGCAAACTTTAGATTGATTTATATTGTCAGCGAAGCTTTGAATGAGAATTCAAAATAACTTCAAAATTACGAACCCAGAGCAATTATTCGGCACTGTGGACGCTCTGCCAAATAGGGAGGAAATGAATAGAACTAAATAAGCAATGAAAAAGGGTGCAAGAAATATCATATGCATGATCCTCAGTGGACCGACAGACAGACTCTATTTGAAACACATATCTTCAATATAAAGCTAATGTCAGCATAAGATAAAGCAGAGCTTACTTCCTTCTCAAAATAAGACGAAGTAGAAGTAAAACAGAGCAGGTATGAACTAGAATGTGTATTTAAGGGAATGGACACCACCTGGTGGGAAACAGTTTCATTACAGACACCAGCCCTGCAGCCCGCGAGTCATGCCTTTTATTTGATGAAGCCTTCTTTAAAAATCACTTCAAAAGCAAATGTGTAGAACATAAACACAAAAACAAGACTGGAAAAAAGAAGTGCATGTGTAATATTAACCAGTTTAGATTACTTTCACCAAGTAAGTGCAAAGTATTCCAGTGACTGGTGGATCTGCGTGTAAGTTGAGTGGGCTTTAAGCAGCAGGATTGGTCAGGAGTGCTTCCTTCATCAAGTGCTGGTCTTCATCATCTTTGTCAACCTGTTTGCACAGAAAATAGGATTGAATTATACACTAGAAATGTAGCTAAAAGCATCCCGACAACAGCTATTGTATTATTTCTTCTCTGCTTTATCTTTCTGAATGCTGCAGGTCCAGATTTGCACCTCTTCTGTCTCTCTGTTGACCAAAGCCTTGATGCCCAGCACAGCAAAGCTGATGGAGACACACAGGTGGAGAACAGCCAGGACGATCAGAGTCACATCCAAGCCCGTCAACAGACGCTGACATGCACAAGAAATGAAGAAGAAAGAAGTCAGCCTCATTCATAGACAATAAATGCTTTACAGGAATTCTAAAACTGCGAATAGGTCGCTCTATTCGCATTGGGTTCCTTCATTTTCACAACACAGTTATCATTTTGAATCAATATACTGTCCCGCTGCAGTAAATACTAACACTCACTGCTAAGGCACACAATGTGGATTCACCCGCAGCTGAATATAGTTTATATTCTATTAACTCCTCTGCACTGCAGCTTTTTTTCCTGGCAGATTTGAGAGCGTTATGACTTCAGTGGGAAAGCATGAGCTGAGAGAAGTGTCACAGTGCCTGAAGCATGAAGGCGCGCTCACCTGGAAATATTGCGCCACATAAATGCAGTTGTCGTTGTGAAGTTCAGCAGTGTAGCCGTCACACATCCCGGCGGCGGGGGCGGCCGCCAAGTCCACGGAACTCTGCACGATCCCAACAACGGCCGAGATGGATCCGACTATGTTCACCAGCACGGCGAAGCCCACCTGAGAGAAAAGACCCCATCGTGTGTACGACTCTCAACGCACAACGGCAGTCCTTGGCCTTTTTTATATAGATCACATTAAAAGATTCATCAAATCTCCCACCTGTCCAAATATAGGATTAGGGTTAAATCACTGATTTATTTTGGATGAATGTTTTCAACATTGTAAAAAGAAAACGCAACAGTGTTCATTTAACTGATGAGGATTGAGACATTCTGACACTGGCCTTGGTGTTTATTCAGACTTTACTTACCAAGTAAAGAGAAGGGAACCGGCCGGCAAGAATGGACATGATTCCAGCTACGCTGAACTGGACAGAGAAATCAACATTAACTACAATGCATTTCATTTGTTTGTTTTTAGGAAGATCTGTGAAAAACTTTTTATTTCCATGAATTATGTCACACAGATGTTATTCTGTGGAATCAGATGTCGGCATCCCTTTACGAAATCTTTCTTTCATCAAATAATTTAAATTCTAAAAAGTTCTGGTCATTTCATTGGTTTAGTGGAACATAACAACCACTAATATTAACAGAGCATTGTGACATCACCACGCCACCCAGCCAGTAAGCAGCTCCCGTGAAGGTCAAACTGTCGGGTTGCATGTAAGGTCGTCCCGGCCCGAGTCCAATGTTGAACAGGCCCACCATGACCTGCATAGTCTATAAAACATCCCAAACATTTAAACCTCACTGTCTTATACTGTAAAAAAACTCCACGTACTGATGCTTGGATACATTTAAACATTGTTCTCACCCCGAGAGCTGCAGTTACATCTCTCTCCATCAGCCCCGTGGACCCGGAGCAGCAGAGAGTCTTGAGGATTCGACACAGAGGCGGCAACATGCTCTTACTGTCCGTTGCCACGGTGACGACGGTCACTCCCTCGTCTCTGACAAGAGCGACGGACATCTCTTAGACCAGGGCTTAGTTCTAGTTCACTACGATGCTAATATCCCATTCTGGTAATTACTAAGTCTACGTGCATGTTGGCTAGATTACCTGGTAATGATTCGCAAGGTACAGCTACACGTGTTGAGCAGAGACAAAGTGTTTGATAACCTCCAAAAGTCAACAGTCACTGGAATCTGTGGAAGAAATATTTTGTCAAAGTTTAGATTTGAATCTCTACACTGCAGAAATAGATGAATCAATTTAACTCTTGATTGGATAATAACTCACTGACTCAATATCAAGGAGACTTAAAATAATAGAGACTATGAACTCATGCTTACAGGTTTTACTGAGGTATAAATGAAAATACACAGCTGGATGTCTGTCTCATTCATACTTCATCTGCATACATGAAAGAAGTTAACTACACTCGTGTTTCGCAGAAAGTACTCGACCATCTCAACCTCTCATCCTAAAGCCACCGCAGAAAGATACAAAGCTTTCACGAAAAGGAGGAATCTGGGTATTGAACGTCGACCAATAACATACAAGCACACACGGAAACTTTTCAAAATGATGAAAAAGATTTAAATTGTCAGTAACATCTTCCATAACTGCCCCCTCTTAACCTTTAATTAAACATTAATACAACTTCTAAACAACCAAGAACAAACTGTCTTACTACTAATTTGATTATTACAAAGGTAGAATGATCATGAATGATGTGTCTGCGTGTGCAGAGGTCTCACCTGGTTGGGGGCTGTAGGCCGATTGCACCTGGACGGATGGTTCACCAAACAACAGAGAAAACCAATACTTCCTGACGCTCGTTCTAACCCTTCAAAATAAAATCATTCGCGTCTCTTGAAATGTAATTGACGGATGCTCTTAGTGGAACAGATCCTGTCAGGATATGTATATACTAAACTTAAGCAACAAGTGAGCTAAAACAAATGAAGTGAATGGAATTTAAGTGAGGAATTGGAACAGAAAAAAAACAGCCGATTCTTCTTTTATATTACGTATTTTATTCAAACAAGATGACTTTCAAAAGGTGGTTAATGAGCCTTGAATTACTGCTGATCTTCAAAATCACCCCGTTTGAAGTTAGACTTTCACTAAGAAAAAACAAAATAAAGATTTACTTTAGTTGACTTTTACTGAATCAAATTCAACAAATATGGATCACAGCCACGATTTTACGCCAGTTTGCTTCACCTTTCTGAATATTCTCTAAATCATGTTGACTCTGTACATTTTGTTTATTGTCTTCTTGGTCCACACGTCTTCCTCCTTTATCCCGCTGACCAGAGCCTCGATGCCCAGAATAGCGAATCTAATATCGCCAAAGAGGTGAAGAACGGCCGCGGCGACCAACGTGGTGTCCATGGACGTCAACAGAGTCTGATGGAGGACAGAGTGAAAAAAGTTATTTTCAATTCAATATCTCATTTTTACAAGAGCCACTCAGTGTGGACTCTCTTAGTTTAACTTCCGATGTATGCTTACCTGGACCAAGAGCGCCACTTTTGTGCAGTTGTCTTCATAAAAATCAGCATTTTTGCTGCTGCGCTCACACATCCAGAGGACTGAGGCCTTTCTCAGGTCCAGCGCGTACAGCACGGCGCCGGTGACGGCAAAGATGGCGCCCGCAATGTTCATGAAAACAGTGAAGCCCACCTGAGGGGAAAGATCCCTTTAATTAAAAGAGCAATTCAAGCAGTGTTTGACGCTCCTCGTGTTTATCAGACTCTACTCACCAAGCAGGAGGACGGGAACTGTCCGGCCAAAATGGACATGATTCCAGTTACAACGAACTGATGGGAGGTCAGCAGACATTGATTAGGTAACCCTTTCACAAAAACTAAAATCTGATGAACAGGCAACAATTCACAGCTAACAGGGCTAAGAAAACATGTGACGTGATCTAAAAATGTCATTTTACCACAGAGCCCAGCCAGTAAGCAGCACCCAAGCTGCTCAAATCCCCAGAACCTGTGCTGGTTCGTCCCGGCCCGAGTCCGATGTTGAACAGGCCCGCCATGATCTGCATGGTCTGCCAGAGATTCAAAACAATTCCATCTCATCGTTTTATACTGAACATCTGGAGACGGTTAAGAGCTGTACGTGAATTCCTCCCACCCCAAGAGCTGTGGTGACACTGGTGTGTGTCTGCGCCCCGAAGCAAAAGGCCTTCAAGAGGTGGTGAGGTGATGAAAATGCGCTTCTTCCGCCGGTCGGCACGGTGACAACGGCCATCTTCACAGTCCACCGAACACCTGCAACACAAGGCGGTTCATTTTTGCAGATTGGTTCAGCGAATTATGGTATTTTTTAATCTTTGCCTGTGTGTGTGTGTGTGTGTGTGTGTGTGTGTGTGTGTGTGTGTGTGTGTGTGTGTGTGTGTGTGTGTGTGTGTGTGTGTGGTGTGTTGTGAGGTATTTGTAGAGGTGAATGGGTCAGTGCATGAATGTGTTAAAGTGCGTGGCAAAGTAAGCAGAAGCCCAGGTATCGATCAACAGCACTATCAAACCCAAATATGTAGATGTGGTTCCACTGTGTGGCAGCCAGATTGTTCTCTTTGTCGCCTTCGTAAAGTTCTTTATTTAGCAACTGTGAAATATGCAGCAGAGGTTTTATCTGCCAAAGCAAAAGGATGTGGTGTTTGGGTTTCATGAGCTTTCTCTGAGGAACAGAACAATGAATATTTGTAACGTTGTCGTAAGTTGCAAAAAAAGTTTGACAACAGATGTTTGTTGGTTGGTTTTCTTTTAGGTGAAAGTTCTGGTTCTCAATGCTGCAGTAAAAACTCCTAAATCTTCTAGAAACTCAAACACTCCGTCACACATTTCACACAAACAATCGGACAATTCTGGCAATTCTTTTTACAATTATCAACTACATAATCAATATCAATTATCGACTACATAAATTCTCATTATTACTTTATTATCAGTTTGTTTGTGTCGAGAACTCACCTGCGGATGATTTGATGCCGTACCTGTGACAGTCTGGGTCTTATGACATCAGCCTCTGTTCCCTTTTCAGCAAGAGACGTGTTACTTCCTGTTGACCATCGCATTCCTTCAAAATAAAGCCCCTTATTTTCACTAACAGGAAGAAACTTCCAGTGAAAGAGAAAGTTTTATTTGACTAAAATTAGCAATGCCACAAGGAAATATAATCTAAATGTCACTTGTTTCCAACCAATGTGACAATGTCACAGAATCAAAACTGTTTTCATTCATTCACATTCAGCATGCGACATGGAAGTGTGACATGAGGTTTAAGGTTTCTCATTTAGGATTCACACAACACGAGTAAATAAAAACAGTCAAGATTTCGCAATTTACCCGGAATTCCCAGTCAAATTACACATGACCACAACAGCCAGAGGATGCTGAACTCAGATAATAATGTTAAATGGATGTTTCTAAAGCGGTTTTCACACTACAACTAATAATTCGCCCCTTCACACACTGACACCCGGGTCAGCTTAAAGGGAGACGTCCTCCCATCAGGATTAAGTTCATTCACATTCATACCAACGTTTTTGAGAGAGACACACATGCGGCAATTGACAGGATACATTTTATTTACCTTGTATTTCATTTTTTCATCCCAGAAACAGAATTTCCAAAAGGGGGAATATTGTTGGAAACAATATAATCTCCCTCCACCAACATTTAATGATTACCATTTATATTTGTACATAGCAAAACTGGATATTTAACAGATGTTAAGACATCTTTTCACCATGGTTACAAATTTATTGTAAAATACAGAAATACCCCAAAATGTGTGTAGCACTCAATCATTTTGATGACTATATTCGTTCAAATAAGACTTTATATTGTAAAACAGCACACTAAAGGTCCATCAATGTGTAGAAGCATTATACGTGGTAGAAGCACAGAAGCATTATACATGGTATTATAAAAAGTGTAAAAAGATGTCAAGCTTATAGTGAAAGACCCAGAAGTAGTGAGAGAGCTTACAGGTTGAATTTGGTCAACTCGTTACCCTTACAGGACACACAGTAATGGTACAGAAGCTCAGGGTTTGAGTTCCTGGTATCTGACAGTGACTCAGGCTGCCGGCTGGCTGCAGTCTTCTTCCACCAGTGGTTTGTAGAGTTCTGCGTCGCCCATCTTCTATGGAGAGAAAAATAAAGTATGAGTACAGCTGATAGTAGAACAGTGTGGTAACATCTATCAAACCTCAAAGCGACGTTCACACGTAAACACGTTAAAGAATGTTTGTGTTCCCTCCACAAGGTTCAACAGGGAGCTCCTACCTCCTCGTCTGCTTTCTGTCTGCTCATCAGGGCCTTGATCCCCAAGACGGCCGAGCTGATGGCGAGGCAGAGCTCCATGGCCGAGAGGACGATCAGCAGCCCATTAATGCCCCTCAGAAGCACCTGTCGGGTGTCGAGAAAACAGCAGTTAACTTTAAAACACACTCAAACACGTTGGGTCTTACTTGTTTCCTTCGTTACATGTTTTTGTATTTCTAATTGGCTTTGATTAAGGTTAAGAAACGGAGGACCTTTAATATTTATAAGGGGAAATCAGACCTAATAATAATAACTACACAAAGAACACAGTAGTGTCTTTTAAATGAATGGTAATGACATGCAGGATAGTTTATTTCAGTAATGTCGTCAACCTCGCTCAAGTAAAAGGTGTTTTCTGTCTTTGATGGATACAATGCACTGTAATAATAGAAGATGTGCATGAGCCCAAAGTGATGTCCTTAAATTGCTTGTTAGAGCCACGAACGTTTCTCATTTTCATTTGATAAATAAATAATAATGAATAAATAATCAAAATCTTTCATGATACTTATTCTTGGATGGACTCATTTTTCATCCATAGTTTATTAGTTTATCCACTCATTTATACACTCATTCTAAACCCTGTACTACAGTGTTAATGGCTATGATGGATTGCAACTTTTATGATGGTTTAAACTAATAAAGCCCTCAATTTTTTAACTCATCAGTTACTGAACTCTTATTTTAACAACTAGAAAGACATTTTCCACACTTACCAGAGCCAGTTCTTTGCCCTGCAAGCATTCCTCCATCATGTGCGTCATCTCGGGAGACACAGTCGTTGTGGCTTGTCGGTAGCGGCCACCGTAATAGTCGCCATAATAGCCGCCGTTATAATTGTTACACATCCACCACAGTCCAATGTGTGCAATGCTGATGCTGTAGAGCACGATGGCTGTAATGGAGAAAGCAACTCCTGCCAGATTCAGGATCACATTCACGGCGACCTATGACCCAGGCAACAAAAAACAGACAGGCACTTGGTTCCCATGAAATTCAAAAAGCCACCTGAGGAATATGTGACCTCCACTTTGCCCCCGTCTGCCGGGCCGGGTTGCTTCGGCTAGGAACTACCCACCAGACACGGACTGGGGCGCTTCTCAGACACGATGCCAGCGATGCCAAACAACATCATCTGGAGGGAGAAACGACAAGAAAAAAACTTCAATGTTCGCTCCTCCACACAAACTGAGCGAACCGGCCGGACAAGAGACTAACCCTAACCCTAACCCACTGGGGACTTATCCAATCCAATATCTTATATTTGAGACAATAGTGCAGGGTTGAACAAGAACATTCTGGTAAGTGTAGAAAATGGCATCACTTTACTGTTATGGGGCCTTTAAAACCAGGAAAACACAGCGCTTATTCCATTTGACGACATCCAAAGACAATATCCAGTCTCGTATATCATCAATTTACTACTGATGTGTAAATATGCTTTGATCTGAAGCCGACCTTCAAGATTGGCTCTGTGAATCTCTGGGGATTTTTGTGGATTTAAAGACGCTTGAAACTTTGAAGTGAGTTCAGCCAGTGTATCCAGAAGGTTCCCGATGACAAACATTTGAATTTACATTTTTAATATCTCCCCATATGCACATTTTATTTTGTAATACTGTCCATTCCCTGATCAATACATTGCACATTGCAGAAAAAAAACTTGGCATGAAATGTCTTCTGAACATCCCAGTTAAAGTTGTCTACACAATAACTTACAGATGCACATTTATCAAAAAAACTTCAATGTGGTTCAGACACAAAATAACAAGTACAAAATAATCTTTGCTTACAATCACTCCGATCCACACAGGAAAGAAGGACGGCATCCAAAAGAGCCCGGCGAAGTAAATAAGTAACACACCCAGGGTGACGTTGAGCAGCCCGACCATGATGTGCAGCGCCTGCGGAGGAGGAATCACAGCGTGAGCGACCAACCTCTGAACAGCAGTACTGCAGTGACGCGGTTTTGGTTAAATGGGAAAGAAACCGTGAGGAGCAGAAGAGAAACTCACCCCGAGGACCGACTGGGCATTTCTCTGGACGCTCCTCAGGTGCTGAGACACGGAGCAGCACACGGGGCTGTAGCAAAGGTTTTTGAGGATTTGGCACAGCGGAGGAAGGAGACTTTTGGAGTCAGAGGTCATGGTGAACACAGTGACCCCGTCGCCCTTGGTTACAGTCACAGACATTCTGCAGCCTTCTGTAGACCAAAAGAGACGAGACAGTGTTAAGGCCGTGGTTAAGCATGTGTGCTCATGAACCGGGGACACCTTTTACAGTATGAATTAGGGAATCATAAAAGGATGGAACAGTTATAGAAATATATTGTAAAAATTATCGAATGTAACTCACAAAAATGCAATTTGTGTTGATAGATTAGGGGTTGATTAGGGTATTACATTTTAATATATATATATAATATTATTAATTACAAAATAAAATTCATTCAATGGGCTGTTAAAGTGCAATCTGATATGTAGTCTTCAGGCTCCCATCATATTAGGAGGAGTGTTTGTTGTTCATTTTTAAAGGACAAGAAAGATCGGTTTAGTTAACAGGTGAAGTGCTACAAAGCCTGTGGAAACAGTGATGGGGATGTCTAATAGCGCACAGGAAGCCTTCTAAAGTCTGAAGAGACATTTACCATCAGTGTTATTGCAGATTAAGCTACAGGTTTGGAGACTTTAACAAAACGCCCTGGCTGAAGCGCTCAGTGCTGCCGCCGGTGGCCGGACGCTGTACTGCAGCTGCGTGAGGACATTGACAACCACTTAAACCGTAGAACTGTTTGACAGCCAGAATAAATTCACCGATTAAAGGGCTGCTGCTTTCCTCCAACATGCCACAATAGACGTAGTTTAGTTAAATCCCTCGTGTGTTGCTGTAATATCGCGTGCAGACTCCTCCAGCAGCACTGGGCCTGCAGTCTGTGGGCGAAGTTACGTCATCGTGGATTTTTCTTCCGCACTAATTTAATTGTAAAAGTCCTACTTGTTGCTGCTTAATAGCCGCGGGGCCTTCAAGTTGTCTCCTCTAAAGAACAACTCTAAGAACTTTTACTGGTGGGTTCGAACTTGAAATAGTGAGTATTGAGATACGCAAATTGTAATATAGCAGAACGGTGATATTCATATATAGTACTGGCTGGAATTTAATTTGGCTCAAGACTGAATCAAACATGATAAAAATACGTACCTGTTTGAGTCTGTGAGAGAAGATGAAAACCCTGTAACTGTTGCGCCCAAAACGACAGTTATTGCGGAGGAGGAAGTGGACGCGAGCCAAACTGTTACCAGAAGTACCTCCCCGTGTACCACAAACACACTTAACCCTATATTGTGAACATTTAGAAACCAGATGAAAACAAGGTAAATCAAGATATCAAGCAGTAACCTGCAGAGCCAGAGCCAGAAGATCAGAGGTCCACAAACTGCACCCTATTCTATACTATCCCTATACTTTGTTCATTTAAGCAGTCAACTAGTCAGTTATGTTGATGAGTTCCTCTCAATGTAGTTTTCAGATCGATGAACAGAGTGGAAAAATACAAATATGCATATATATGACGTGACGTGGCTAAAAACAGTACAATTTTTAGATTTTGTATAATCATCTTGAAAAAAAGAAGCCTCAGGTCTAATACGGGGACATAAAACTACACAGGTGTTACGATTACTAGTATTTGTGGCTGAACTTTTGCTAAATAACAGACAAAGAAAATATAGACGTGCAAATTTACAGACAATACATGAAGTTACAAAGGGATCCAAACACAAATGCTTGCTTTAATTATAAACATGAGCTTGCTTAGCAAAAGTCCAAGCACAGCAGGACACCATTCCTCCTCTAACTGACAGATCTAATTCAATGCTGATCAATCACCACGGAGAAGAAAAAGTGAAGATAATTGTAAGTTAGGTTTGCATTGTCGGTAGTACAATGTCAACTTCAACTCCAGTACTGAGTTGAAGTTGGATGTAAACTGGTGCTTCACAGTATTTCAGTTCATTTCCTCCTTCACTAGACTCACAGATCACATTCTTGTCTGGTGAGTTATGCAACGAGCTCACATCTAAGCCAGTGTTATCAAGAGGCGTCGACTCCTTCAGTAAATGTACAAGATCTGATTATAAAGAACCCAACAGTATGTTGAAATTACCTCAATTCAAATATTTCACATGTATATAATAATATAATGTAATAATAACATCGGTCTAACAAGACGCTCTCAATACTAAAAGTACATTTAGCAACGTTTGTCCTTTTACTTAATTTTAATATTAAAGGAGGATTTTACACCAATGAAGACAAGGAGACTTTCATTTTTCATAATCATTTATGTATTTCCAATACTTCAGTTACATCAACGTTATTACAGGGATGTGAAAGATACAGGAAACACGTCTTAGGCATTTGAATTCAAACCCTCGGCCTCTCAGACTCTGGTACGTAATTACCACCAGTTTAAATCGATGACAGTTTGAATGAGGTCGACGCTGGGGAAGTCCATAGCAATGACGCCCTTGCACGGTCTTGGTTGATTAGGATAAAACTGTCTCAGGTATTGATTGAGCCAGGGGTTTATCCTTTCAGCCACTCTCTTTGGAGTCAGGAACATCCCCCAAAAAGTACCCAAGCCAGAGCCGCTGGTGTAAGTCACAACGGCATTATCTCCTCCACAAGCTTCGGTGGCTTGGTTCAGCTGCGTCATTATTCGGCTGTCTTTATCTTTAATGCTGCTAACCTTTTCGTTACTCTGCCCGTTTGTATCTATGAAGGGAATCCCTAGCGTGAAGGTGCTCCTCTGTAAGAATACAATTTTCCCCCTGACCTGACCCATGTTTGGCATTCCAGGGCTCACCCAGACGTTCCGGTCGTCGCCAATGAGACTCTGGACCATTTCGTTGACGGTATTCTTCTCAAACGACTCTGGTTGGACTCTGATGAGCACGGCCTCGCTATTAAACTCTGACAGGAAGGCTCGGACGGTGTCCAGGACGTCCTTGAGAGTGCTGTGCTGGTACGTCACTCCATGCATGACGTAGAGGGTGTTCCCCAGTCCAAACACCTTGAGATCCAGGAACCGAATGCCGGCCCTGAGCTGGTCCTTCAGGGACCAGGCCTGGCATTTGGCCTCCGGTCCTCCGTGCAAGGCCATGCTGTCATGGGACCCGGGGATGGAGATGAGAGAGAGGGTGCGGAAATCCTCAATCCCAGCCATCCACGGGATGTTGTAGGACCCCGGGAGTATGAGGTTTCCGTCGTCATTGAAGGATCGGTCTTTACCGTGGCACAGAAAGCTGGTGGTTTAGAATAAGATTTGGGGATGTTTAAGAAGAAGTTGCCACTTAAAAACAATCCATTCTTGCATTTTGCCTGCAAAACGTCTTTATTATACTTACGTGACAGACAACAGGGTATAGTAGAAGAGCAGACACTGATGACCAGCCTTCATTATTGCAGGCGAGGTGAGCAACCTGGCAAAATGTTTCAAATAAATAATATAATTATGCAGCATTAATTGATTAGCACTTGCAAGTTCACTTTGAAAAAGTTTCATTAACAGTATCAGGTCAAAGATATTTTTTCTACGATACCTTACAGCCAGGAGGATCTTGCCGGAAGCTACTCAGATGGCCGAATGTGAACAACTCAACAAAACTACTCCTATTTATTTTGCTTGGTTATCTGCAAATATCTAGGTGTGGACCACAAATATCAGTTTGCGAGATTCAGACTGATTGTTCAAACATGTTTTCACCGTTTGTTTCCACAGCTTGCAAAGGTGTGTCTCAAAAAAAGAAATTGATTATATTTTTTATCATCTTGAAGGCAAGCAGCCACACCACTGCAACGAAAAATATTATCAGGGACTATTAAATATTTGCCTGCAATAACATATCACCTGGATAAACAAGGATTTCAGAAGACTGGAACATGATTTTGTTTCATGGAACACCAGGGAAGTGAGGTGCCTGCACTGAGCCCACAGGAGATTAAATGACGCTACTCACAGCTGCAGCTGCAACACCTGTGAACTGCAAAATGCATTTCCCGCAAAGCTAAAATCTAAAAGCTGATTTTCTTTTTTTAATTGTTGAGAATACAGACATGATACTATTAGTCATAGTAGTAGTATTAATAGCATAAATAAAATGTGACCCGGTGATATTCTACCCACCAGAGCCAGAATAAATGAAAACGGTTTAAATTAACTCTTCAAATTAGTCAATAAAAAGAGATTAAATACTGTTTATCTCTATCAAACAAAACCAACAAAGATAATAGACCATGTGGGACTAACTTGTAACATTTGGGTCAGTGTAAAGGTGTTAACCATAAAGTAAATAGTCACAAAATATAAAAGAACAAACACGTCAAAGAAACCAATCAAATCACAGCAAATAAGAGGACTAAAACAAACCACACCATACAACAAACACATCCAAGATAGCTGCTCTATTACTGTGTCACTCCCTTCAACACAGCAGAAAGCCCCACAAGAAAATGAAACACAAAGGGCCCATGCAATTGGCTTATTAAATAGCCACCCATTTACTAAATAGGGGAAAAACAGTGGTTGTCCACAATGTTGGTTTAAAACAAAAGAAACACTTTTTTCATTCAGGGAGTACATCTACCTGTCTTGCTTACGGTCACAATTTGTTTTATATTAATTCAAACATAACAAGTAGAAAGCTGAAGAGTCATAGCAGGAATGCCCTGAAGGAGCTGAATATTTTAATATTTGAACCGTTTTAATAGCTGTGCGTGAAGGAGTTGCCATGGAAGAAATAGATCGAGATGTTGAAATAAAGATTCGAAGAACAATACTGCTGAGGCACTATTTCAACAATAAGTAAGTGGAGAAATTATAATTTTATTGTACTAATATAGTATTTTGTTGTACAACTCCAACGCGGTGGGTGGCGGTAGTTCTCCTCAATGCAGGAGACAAAACGGGAAGAAGAAGAAAACCAGAAATGACGCAGAAGAAGAAGAGAGAAACATTAGTAAAGATGGCGGAGAAAAGCAGCACGGAGCGTACGGAGGATGACAACATGGATAAAAATGTTGCCGCCCGAGCACCTATGATGGTGGTCACTGTGAAAACTCCAAATGGAAAAGAGGACATCTCGATTCCAGAGGATTCTTCTGTCTCTCAGGTGCGTCGATTCACCTTCTCCCGACACGACGGCAGCAGATATTTGACAACGTTTCCCTCGGAAATGGTCGAAACGTCACTTTATAACACAGCAGCGCTGCGCACCTTAGCTATACTGTCATTGAGTCGGCTTACATGTTAACTGGTTTGTGCTCTTACGACAAAAACCGGAAAGTTGGCGTCACGCTACCAGAGCTAACGTTAACCGTTTACACCCGCAGTCCACGCAGCTGACTTTGCAACTTGTGTAATATCGCGATATTTGACCCGGGCAGTGACGATAACTGACGGCTAACGTTAGCTACACGATTCTACTATAAGTGAAATTGTGTTCGTTACGTTTTGTCTAAAGCGATGACGACGTAACGTCATGCTCCGTTATTTGATGGAGGGGTCGCCGGTAGAATCTGGGCGTGGTGCTGTCGACCAACTGCATTAAATAATTCGAATTAATCGTCCTGGTATCGATCACCTACTCTTTGCTACGGAGTGAAACTAATGGCGAACTATAAAATGAAACGGCAATGTGACGCACTACTGATGATCCAGTCCATCAATTACTGTCTATAGATATTTATATTCACCTTCTAACAGCTGTGTCGTTCTGCTTGCTCGAATTAACGCTTTGTTATAAACTGGCCTGATTTCAATGAGCCAACAATCATTCATGATGCGTTGTTACATCATCAAACCAGGTGGTCAACACATGACCGTGAGAGCATCTCAGGAGTTTGCTCAATATTCTTCAGCACTGTTGATAAGTTGATCAAGTCTGTACTTGGCCCTGTTAGTAATCTTCAAAGGTTCTTGTCTCATTCGTAAAGTTCAAACTGGAGGTGTCCAAGAAGTTTGAGGCCCAGCACGACCAGCTGGTGTTGATATTCGCTGGAAAGATTCTGAAGGACGGCGACACGTTAAACCAGCACGGTATCAAAGACGGCTTGACCGTTCATCTTGTCATCAAGACTGCCCCGAAGTAAGCGCCGGTCCTATGCATGTGTAGTACGAAACGGGTGTAAATCGTGCTCATTCTGTTTCTGTATATCCAATGAATAGTTTGGTAAGAGTTTGTTTTTTGTTGGTTGCTTTCTCTCCAAAAGGTCGACAGGTGACAGTACATCTCAAACGACTTCCCGTTCGGCAACACTTCAAAATAGCAGCAGCAGCAGCAGCAGCAGCAGCAGCAGCAGCAGCAGCAACGTCGGCGCCACGGCAGACAGAGCCACAACTGGCACGAGTCAGACGCCAACGCCACCTGCTCATGCGATGGGTTAGAATCATACTCATAATTAGTTACTTGCTTGCTTTACCTCGTAATTGGGGAACCGCTGGGATTTGTCTTGTGCCACTGCACACATTCTAAGCCATTTACTAAACATGAATGACTTAAAACGGCCCATACATTACTGTGTATGCAGTGTTCAGTATTGGTCCACCATGAAAGTTGGGGCAATAATACTATTAATAATACTGCTAATACTATTATTTATGTGACTGGACGTGAATGTAGCTTTACTATAGATTTGAAATCAATCAAAATGCTCAACTGTATTGCGACACAGACTTTTGACAAGATACCATCATAAATATAGCACTTTAAAATCATATTTGGTTGACTATTCACTCACCACAAAGGAGCTCATCGCAGGCTTTCCTCCTCCTCAGGTGGACTTGAGGACATGTCCAGCTTGTTGGGTCTGGGCATGCGTTCCTCCAGCTTCATGGAGATGCAGCAGCAGGTGCAGACCCAGCTGATGTCCAACCCGCAAATGCTGTCGCAGATGATGGGCAACCCTATGGTGCAGAACATGATGTCCAACCCGGACCTGATGAGACAGATGCTCGCAGGCAACCCTCAGATGCAGCAGCTGATGGGACGGACCCCGGACGTCTCCAGCATGTTCAACAACCCTGAGCTCATGAGACAGGTCAGAGCGGAGTGTCTGAGGCTTTTGTCTGTCCTGATAGATGCCCAATCGTTCACAGTAACGTCTTGGGTTAGTTGCAGCAGTTTTGTCGGATACAAAAATATTAGTGTTGTGTGTTCTTCTCCCGCTGTGGTATCGACCTCTGTTGTCCCGCCCCATTTGCTTGCATATGTCTTATATTCTTTTTAATTGGTTTTATTTTAGTTATTATATTATTCATGTTCTAAGGCAGTAGTCCCCAACCACCGGGCCGTGGACCGGTACCGGTCCGTGGGCCGTTTGGTACCGGGCCACACCACAGAAAGCTTATATATATATTTTTTTCTGAAAAATGTTTTATTTTGAAAATTGACCGGATTTTCTCCTAATTATGTGCGCTCGTC